GTATATCTTTCTGTTTTCCTTACTTGTAAGTCCCCCCATGGAATACAATACATTTATTATAATAAATTTATCAACATACAAGGCACAGTTCCAAACTATGAATTATCTCCTGAGAAAATACTGTGATTAAGGCATTGAAAATATTACAAATGCTGATATTACAAAGGGTAGCTTAGATGTTGTTGTTGGTAACTAATATTTAGGGGATAAATAAAGAACATAATATTTGAAAATACATTTTGTATCAACAATCCATATGCAAATACATTTCTTTCAATTTTGTTTTAAATAAGAATGTTTGGGGGCTGGAAACACAGCTCAGTTGGTTGAGTGCTTGCCTTGTATACACAAGGCCCTGGAGTCAATCCCTGGCAACACACACACACACACACACACACACACACACACAGAGAGAGAGAAACTGTTTCAATGGGATTAACTCTGGATTAATATTTTCCTGGTCGTGTATTTTTCAAAAATGATAAATTTGCAAGGAATAAATTTTGCCTTAGAGGTATAATGTATCTATGCACACAGTGGCTTTCTTTCCTCTGAATGCATATTGGTTATATATCTACAAAGTAACTGTGAGAGAAAAGAAATGCCCAAGAAGCAAAACTATAAATCGTTCATTTGATAAGAGTATTTGAAATAAATAGGTATTGGATAACTTTTCTTTTAATGTCAAATGCAAGTACTTGACTCAGTAGGTAACTTCTTAATACTAATAGGAAATTTGTATTTTAAACCCAGTTTGTATTCTGACCTAAAGATAAAAATCAGGAAGTTGGCCAAAACTCCATCCAAATTGCACTGCTGGCACAAGAAGGGAGCATTCTGAATTCCTAAATACCCTTTCCTTAATTGTAAATAGTCATGATTCTATAAAAATCAAGAATGTTATTGGAGTTCTGTTGTAAAAAGGAATTTATTGCAGCAGGGCTCAGTGGCACAATTCTGTAATCTCAGCAGCTCGCGAGAGGATCTCAAGTTCAAAGCCAGCTTCAGCAAAAGTGGGGCGCTAAGCAACTCAGTGAGACCCTGTCTCTAAATAAAATACAAAATAGGGCTAGGGGTGTGGTTTAGCAGTAGAGTGCCCCTAAGTTCAATTCTAGGGGCCAAAAATAAAG